TCCACAACGTATTAATCCTCAACGCATTTTTGTTATCCGTTTTTGTTCTTGTTTTCGTTTTGTTCTGTAATAGTTTATAAATAAATAAATGTTACATWAAAATAGTAGTGGTGATCAGAGTTCAAACCAATAGTATTCTAGTTCCTGATTCTTGCCGCTACAAAACCCCCACCTATTAGAGACTAATGCAATTAAAATTGTAACTAGAAATACAGGATGTTTTGTGTTGACCATTTTCTTACTAGTTCATGTGCCGCGTGTGCACGTGTTTAACTTTATTGCATTCATTAATTGCTCGGCGTAAATTACTTATTTCTGTCTAATGTGAATCAAATATACAAAGTATTGAAACATGGTAAGATACATGTTAAATTGTTTTTATTTACTAATAACAATGTAAATACACACATAAAAATATATTATGTTATGTGGAATAAAAGTAATTTTTTTAATCAATTGTAAGGAAATAAACATTCCTTTTGCTCTCATTACTAATCTAATAATAATAATAAAAAGAAAATCTATATTATAATTTAATTCTTTTAACTAAAAAATGTGTATTTTTCCAGACACAAGTTTACGTTTTATACGAGCACGCAGCAGGTTATGCTGTGTTCAGCATTAATGAATTTGAAGAAGTAGGAATGTTATTACCTCAAGTTGAAGCATCAGTAACAGATTTATCACGATTTAGATCTGTCGTAAAACTTGCTGGATTTTCACCATTTAAAACTGCTGTAGCAGCATTAGAGAATGTAAATAGTATTTCGGAAGGCATCGTACCTGAAGACTTACAATTGTTTTTGGATTCTATTCTGCCCAAATCTGATAAGCAAAACAAAATTATTCTTGGTGTATCGGATCCAAAACTAGGTGCCAGTATAACAGAAGCATTAGGCTTAAAATGTGATCACACGGGTGCAATACCAGAAATCATTCGAGGAATCCGCTTCCATTTTCATAATCTAATTAAAGGTTTTACTTCCAAAAGCTCGGGAGTAGCTCAACTCGGACTTGGTCATAGTTATTCAAGAGCGAAAGTAAAGTTTAATGTCAATCGTGTAGATAATATGATCATACAAAGTATAGCTTTAATGGATCAACTGGACAAAGACATTAATACATTTAGTATGCGTATACGGTAAGATTGAATGCTTTATAAGTTGGGATCGATAATATATATTATATTGTTTAAAAATCTTTGTTACAAGAAATATTTTTACTATGTTTCAGTGAATGGTATAGTTACCATTTCCCAGAATTGGAAAAAATAGTTCCTGAAAATTATATGTTTGCTAAAGTAACACAACTAATTAAAAATAGAAAGGAATTAACGGAAGAAAAATTAGAAGCGTTGGAACAAATTGTTATGGATAGTGCAAAGGCTCAAGCAATTATAGATGCCTCTAAGTCTAGTATGGGTATGGATATCAATCCTGTGGACCTTCTTAATATTGAGTTGTTTGCTAAACGTGTAATAGGATTGGCGGATTATAGAAAAGAATTGTCTGAATATTTAAAATCCAAAATGAATGGTATAGCACCGAATCTGGCTACCCTTATAGGGAATCAAGTAGGAGCTAGATTAATAGCTCATGCTGGATCGTTAACTAATTTGGCAAAATATCCTGCATCTACGGTTCAGATATTAGGTGCAGAAAAAGCATTATTTAGAGCATTAAAAACAAAGGGAAATACACCTAAATATGGCTTACTATTCCATTCTACATTTATTGGTCGTGCTGGTACTAAAAACAAGGGAAGGATTTCGAGATATCTGGCCAATAAATGCTCTATTGCATCAAGAATAGATTGTTTCACTGAAACACCAACAAATATCTTTGGGGAAAAATTACGGCAGCAAGTAGAAGATCGCTTGAAATTTTACGAAACAGGTGAAATACCTAAAAAGAATATAGACGTGATGCAGGAGGCATTAGAAGAAGTTCAACATGTAGAAACTGAAACAGAAATAAAATCATCTAAGAAGAAGACAAAAAATCAAAAAAGGAAGGTGGAAGAATTAGAAAATGGTGATACTGCTACTACTAATGGTATTCATGAAAATGGAGAGAAAAAAGAACTTGTTGAAGAAAGTGTGGAACCTGTAAAAAAGAAGAAGAAGAAAAATAAAAGATCCAAAAGTATAGGTGATGCTTAAAGCATAAATAATATTAAATTGTAATATGTGTCTTATTGCTATACTTGATATCTTATGCATACAAATTCAAACAAGTTGCATACTAATTTTACATAATTTTGTAAAATTTCCATAGTATTTTATACAATTTTTCCTGACAATTAGAAATATACTTTATTCAATTATCTTCTCTTAAATTAATATTAAACCACTTATAAATTTTCTTTTTAGGTATCTTTTGTTTCTTTTATATTTTCTATTTTGTTTCATTGAAAAATGATATTCTATTAGTATTACTTATGTATTCTAGCCGAACTTCTTTTATTCTTAGCAATATGCATTGTAAATAATTGTATGAATATTATTATATTTGTTTAGCCATGATTTAAATGGTTTTCATACTATTTTTTATAACTAATGACATAATATAACATTACTATACGGTTTCCTACAAATTTAGTTGTGACAATAAATTGTAAAATATACATTTTTTTAATCAAATTATTTGGTATAAATGTTCAATTTTTTTATCTCAATATTCATCCAGTTCCCAAGAAAACGAAGCAAGAAGTTTTACAGACATTCTTGTTAAATTTGTACTTTATAAATATGAGGAAGATTGTGGTATTATGGCAAAAAATAAAACGTCATTTTTTATATTAACACCAGCACCAATGAGCATTTAATAACGACAAAATTGTAATGTAAATGTAAATACCTGAATCAATAGTTACAATTATAGGGTCTATACTAATATAAATAAAATTCAGTCAAAAATGCCTAAATTATTAATTTGTTATCAAACACATTTGTATGTTACAAATAACAATGCTATTTTGAATTAACATTATAAGGAATGATACAAATAACACTATGCCACATTGTTTATTTCCAAGTTATAGATATTTTTATCCTAAATGCTTAATTGTCGAAATGTCCACTTGAATGTGTGTGTTGATATGTACTAATATATTTTTCTAAATATTTATTACGATGAAATATAAATGAAATTTTAAAATTATATTTTCCAAATTGTGACATGCACTATAATTTAAGACTTATAGTGAGTCACAAGAGTATTCGTATTCGCTTCATCTGTAAATTTTAAATAATTGATATTTGCTCGTAATACAAAACTTCAAAATTAAGAAAAATTTTATTTTACTTATAATAAAATGTTCTTTACAATATAAAATTTCGATCAATTTATAAAAATTTAATAATGCTAAAATATTTGTCTGTGCATAAGAATTTGGAAATATTATTATTATGCATAAGAAAATATTAATTGTTTTAAATTGACAGTGGAGGTACGAATACTCCTGTGACTCACTGTACATAAAAAAGAACAGAAAATTTAAAAGATAAATTTTGTTGCTGTCAGATTAAATGCATAGAATTACTGGTCTGTAATAAGTACATTTGTAGTGCATATTATTAACAAGCTATCGCTTATAAATGAAAGCATAATGATTTGGTATATACTCGAACAAAGTAAAAACTATGACATTTAATATCCTACCTATTTAAGTTTACATTTAAATTGAGTTTTATATTTTAGATTTGTTATCTATTGGAATAGACGACAGCTGTACATTACCATTCTAACATAAAAAAAAATTATAATTATTTGTTAATAATCTGGTTTTAGCTTTAATCTTGTTTGACTCTAAAAAGGCCTCTGAAATTCTACGATACATTTATGCTTGTTCTAATCTGCATGAAGTTTTCATATTTATAATATTTATAATCATTTATATTTGTACAATAAATACTTGCTATCATAGCTCTTTAAAAATATATTCCCCTTATATTATTCGTATTACTTTATATAAAATGCTCAGATAATGGAAAATGTAAAGGTTCACTTCGATGTATTTCCTTTACAGCATTCAGTCTCGGATTGTGTAAAAATCTGTTTAAAATATCTTCGAGGTTTATAATATTAGCTAAAATCAACTTGGATATCTCAATAATTTTTTGCTCATACATCACAATTATTGAATAATTTAACTAATTCAACAATTTATTATACACATTTAATAATTTGAAATAAAATTCATAAAATAAACTTATATAATACAATATATGTGTGTATATATAATATTTCAAATTATTTATATTCGTTCATTAAAAAATTCAACAAACAAGAGAACCAGATATATATTTATAAATTGAATAAACCTACATTCACATTCTTAGCGTTCAACAGTCATCAGTATGCTTACTATACTGAATTTATAAAAAACAGATATTTAAATTCATTGAGTATAAATGGTTCAGGGATGTAATAATCAAAATATTATAAAATCTGAAGTTCTTTGATAAGTTCAGCTGTCCCATTTCGTATATAGATTTATGAACCAATGTATTAGAAACATTTGCTATATTAATATTTACTCAATATGTTTTTTACAAGTCATGTATAACATGCAAAATAAAATAAGCAATTTATATAAATTTTCGGAAATATGATATTATATTAACAAATTTTTAT